CTTGCATAGATGAAGCACTTCATCTATAGTCTGGGTTTCGTATTGTCAGTGTCCTGGTCATAGTTGTCTGTGTCCTGATCGTATTTTTGGTCCGCAGCCTGAAAAATGTCGTTATCCTCGTCTTCGCTCTCAATGCGAATAGAATTTGGGGAAAATAAAAAAAACTCGTAGAACGCTTATTTTACGAGTCCATTCACAAGAAAGTTTCAGGATATTGTGTAATGTATTCATTGAAATAATTTTCCTCGATTTCAGTATTGCCTAAGAGTTATATATTATTTCGAAGTTATTTCCTCATTCCACTATACCTATATATTGTCATGTAATTTACAATGTTTACATATTCATTGATGGAAATCACAAACGACAATCGATAGTTCACAAAAAAAATTGGTGTCAATAACAACAGACTGAAACTAATGAAATAGGAAATACTAAACAGCTGACTGGAACGGGCATTATACATGATCGTTATGCACCTTCAGTGGAAAAAGGTAATTATTCCAAACATAGGTTTCTTATAATACAGAGTGAGTCATGAGGAACTGTACATATCATCTTACTACGAATAGACAGAGATTCATCAGGTCAAGTAGCTTGATATCTTAACAAACTACTTGACTTGACTTGAAAATCAAGCTCGTGGCAAATTACGTACTTGACTTGACTTGAATTTGAGATCTTTATTACTTGACTTGAAATCAAGCTACTTGATAATACTTGATCTTGATACGCACGAGTCGCACGGCGTATATTTCTGCAAGCTCGCTCACAATTAGGCAATTAGACAAAATACGGGGGTTCCCCGAGATCCGAGCTGACTGAATCGATCGCGCAGTCAGTCTTTACGATGCCATTTTCATTTCATCAGTTATATACAGGGTGACTCACGGTCGATGATAGGTTAGACGTTCACGTTTATGATAGGAACGCAGGATTTTTCTGGAAATTTCGCATCTCACATTTCATCACCGGTACTATCGATCTAATATATTTTCAAAATCACGACGTTGCCGCTTCTATAGAAAAGTAGGAACCACTTTGTTATTTCGAACTGAACACCCTGTATTTTATTGCATTTTCAAATTCTCCTTGAAGAGTTGATTTCATCGATATATCACACTCGGGGTATAGCGGAAATGATTATGAAGATATAGAGTGCGAAAAATCGAGATTTTTCAACTTCAGGAATTTTTTGTGTATGCGAAATTTTCAGAAAAATCCCGCGTCGCGTTCTGCATAAACGTCTAACCTATAACATCGACCGTGAGTCATGCTGTATAGATACACATTGAAACTGCTGAAAATCAAGTAGCTTGATAGAACTACTTGATTTTTCAAGTACTTGATAAATAATTACTTGACTTGACTTGACATTAAAAAACTTTCGCTTGACTTGAACTTGACTTGATTTCAAGTCAAGTCAAGCCGTGAATCTCTGCGAATAGATGATCCTGAGGGGAGTTCCGAATATTAATTAGTTAGTTAGTTAGTTAGTACCAAAAATTGTTTTTGCCAAATCTCATGATTCACCCTTTATATTGGGAAAGAAGGGAAGAGGACACTTTCTGATGGGCATTAGGTTTTTCCCTCAGGGGCCACTATTCGTGGTAGGAGTATGTACAGTTCCTCATGACTCACCCTGTATAATTCCCTTCTTCTACTATTTACGATATTTTGTTCGCGACTTAGTGCATTTGAAATAACACGATTGTTTCCTTCTTTGGCTAGATTCATGTGGACATTTCCAAAGAACGAAATGAATATGCTAATTTAGTTTGACCCGGAATGGCAATTATCCCCTTCTCCTTCTAAGCGATTCATTTATGACCCAATACCTAATAGACAGCAGCTGTGCTCTCGCTAACTGCCTATCTTTTATTAAGGTTCAGGGCAACCTATTAATATAAAATCGAAGTAGAGGCCCTTCAAAAATCATCTTTGCATTTGTTTTAATCATTCATTCCAGTTATTGACAGTCAAATAACTAAATTGGAAACGTTTTTTTTTCTCAAATAGTCCAACTTCACGGAGCTGTACGTAACTCCTAACATATGAGTCCTACAGACATTTTCTATATAAAAAAAAGTTTCTACGGCTATTACACAAATTTGCTATTGTTTTACTGTTTTCGATAAATCAATGAGGTAAAACATTGTATGTCTTCAATTTCATTCCCCTCAACTAACTGAAACACAATGACACATTGTGTTATTACTATATATATCGTCGGTGTAATTAGCAAAGTGCGTAACTCCACAATGACTAACTTTTCAGGAGAGCAATAAAACTGAATGACTCAACTCCAAGATTCGAATCATTTGGATGAGAGCGAAAAATTCGTAACTCCATGATAACGATTATAAACCCAATTTCAATTGATTTTTATTGATATTGATCATTATCAAGCATGCATCATTCAGTATAAATGTTTTAATTACCTTTTCCAATGTGAGATTGCATATTTTTTCACTATAATAAACCAGAAGTTGATGATGTTTTGCCGAACATGTGAACAGTAGACAAGGAGATACGAATATTGCCGAACATAAAATGGCGCGTTGGAGTTACGACTTTTTCTTTATTGAGTTTATTCTGCTGGAGAAATTTATTTGGAGATTGACCGTTTTCCAACATATTCGTTGAATTTTTTCCCAACAGATGGCACAAAAATGTCATTTTGACCCAATATTGGAGTTACGCACATTGCTAATTACACCGACGATATATATAATAAATGTCATCACCTTTGTAAGAACACGCCTATGGTATACCTACCTATTAACCTAACATAACCTGACCTAACCTAACTTGACCTAACCTGACCCGACATAACCTAACCTGACCTAACATAACCTGACCTAACCTAACCTGACATAACCTAACCGTAACCACCTATTCTTCGATGTATCGATTCAGTTGCATAACGCAATTACTGCAAATGAGAATACGACCTGAAATTATTGTTTTATTCATGAAATGATTTGTGAAATGATTCAACAAATATATAACTCGTTTAATCGATGATTATCGATTAGGTTTCTTCCCTTATTCGAAACAAATTATGTTGCTCATGGAGCTATACTTTCTCTCTTTCTATGCGCTCGTGATGTGGTTTCCATATCATTTGTTTTTCAAAACCGAATTGATTTGTATTTTGATAATCATCAATACACTTGCTGTTTACAACCGATTATTGTCAGCACATGTCAAAACATGACCGAAAAATTGAAAATAATAATTATGAAGCAACACTCTCGAAGACAAGCTTATATTCAAATGCAGTCGAAAGGAGAATAAAATTGTTTGACCTAGCTTATGCTGAAAGAAAGGTGGATATATGTATGGTGAAATAGCTTCCTCTTACAAAACCCTAGAAATTTTTTGTAGACCTCTACCAACAGGATTATCTCGAATTCTATCACAGTAGTAATAAGGCCGCGCAAAACTAACGCTAGATGGCGCTGTTCCCGAAGTGATCTTGCTACACAATGGTTGTTTTGTTTTGTTGTTTACATTTACGTATATCAATTCGTAATTTAAAAACATTGAGAAAAAGTGATTGATTTAATGAAGAAGACGTGAAATTTTCATTATATCTGTGAAGTATATGTGGCACGATGTTCCGTACACCATCTACAGTCAATCCGGTGCGGCCTAGCTACGGTGTTTCGCGGTCTACACGTTTTGGAAAAAAAAACCATAGACACGTGGTTACACCAGTCTATTTTCATCATGGCTGAAAGTAATACATGAAGACGTCTTTTTGAGACGTACCTACATACATACAGAGAAGTGCACAAAAAAAGGCCAGTGCTCTAGATTCTGAATTGGTAGATGGCAAGTATATCAAGTGGTTCATTCCTTGACAACAACAACAACAACAATTTTCGTTTTATCACTTCTGGTTTCACCGGAAACGACCTCAACTTTTGATTTTCTAATTATAAGACACCCTGCATTACATTCCATAATCAGTTTGATATTATCAATTCAACGATAATGACTTTGATAGGGTTATTTCAGAAGATTACGAGAATATTCGCTTCCTGAGTTTCTATATGCTCAATGAGTGTGACAGAGAAAGAAGTCTCGATATTGCGAAGTCACACCCATTGAGCATATTGCAATTTTGAACGCAAATATCTTCGTACTGGTTCTCAATAATCCTATCAAGCGTGGTATCGTTGAATTCGTCATGATGATCCCTAACCGATCATGGAATATAATATAGTTTATTCCAATTGAAAATCAATTGTTACGACCCCAACAATCCGGTGAAACCAGAAATGTTACAACAAAAATGTGTTCGACAATGATTGCATGTGTGATTTGGTAAACTTGCTACTCACCAACTTTTAAAATATGATCTCGAATGATTCAGAAGTCACAGCACTGGCTGTTTCTCGTGCATATCTCTGTGTAGGTATGTGGAAAGTCAAGGATATTTCATTCACAATATAAAATTAGCTCTGAAGGGTTTTAGAGGTGTTTCAACTCATCATCACTATACGTACTTCGATGGGAGAAATAAGGACGTGAATCAGACATGAAATGTACATCTTCGAGACGAATAATGAAAAACATTTTTGAGACGTACATACATACGTGAATGTAGGTATTTAAAAAGTCTTCTATATGTCCCAAGACGAAGCGACGTGAATGAGTACTGTTTTTGTTTAGGTTATTCTTGGTAGGTACGTTGAGAATCAATAGTTGGGGTCGTTGCTGTTAGACATCAGTTTGTCATAGAGGTTGTTGAAAAAGAGTTTATGTCAAAACGTGTTTGAAATGTTTATAAACTTTTTGATGCCATCTGTAGGAAGCACGATTCGAAACTCATAGAAATATCTAATTAATTATATCGATAATACTATTTGAATAATTACTGATTCGTGGCAATGTAACAACGGTAATAATTTGATATGGAAATTTCAGACTATGCTTGTTACAGAATGACCACACCGGTACATCGGGGAAACCCTCCCCACAGCTGAGCCATGCAACGTCTGCGGAGTACTTTCAAACGGTCCCGTACTCCCACAGCCTACGAGATGAAGACCCAGAGCAGCCTCGAGGTGCCCAAGCAAGTGCGTTCAGCATCCTTCGACGAGATCCAACTTGAAGCCAAAAGACTGCAGGCTATCGGACCCAATGCATTCCTAGGTATCCCACAATTCCCAGCCCAACAACGATCTAAGAGCGTGGACTCCGGCGGCAGCGATGAATCCGGAAACTACTTGGAAGTACCTTCGAGGAAGTTCCACAGAAGGAGATCTTCAGGCAGCAGGAGCCCAGTTTGTGTTCACTGCGTGTGCTTGGAGGAGTACAATAAAGCCAATAGCTCCACAGAATCCAGTACCAATCAGCCTGACAAGGAAGAAGCACCGCAACCGTCGTTCAGTATGAGCGAATCATCAAGCGAGTGCGAAGAAGAGATCATGTCGAATTGTGGGATACGAGTGACTCTTTCTCCGGAGGTGGACCCAGATCCTCTTCAGTCTCCACCGCCGGTACCAATGACTCCTACGCAATCTAGAAGAAAGTCAATTCATCGCCAAGAAGCGTTCTTCGCAGAACCAACTGGGGATTCCTTGGAGAGTGTGTCTGATGGCACTTCGGAGATATTTTCGGATGGTACTTCCGAAGGTGCCATGTCTGATAAGACTCCACCGAAGTCAGCTATGCACTGTCTCGTAGTTAAGGATATTTATCTTCAAGTACCTGATTTGAAAAGGGATCGAGCTGCTTCTGTGGATTCTTGTTTCTCCAAGGTCTCTCAGGTTAAAACGGAGGAGCTGCAGCATTCGGGGGTTAGCTTAGAGGTGCCTGTGGGACCGAATGTGGCTTTGAGGTCTCGGTCTGTCGACATAGTGTTGCCTACCGATAAGCAGGCGAGATACAAGGCGATAGCGATGGCAGCTCCAGCTTGCAATAACGAATATAGGTATGGAGGTCACAGTATCAGCATGATTCAAGCACGAATTTTGTCGTTGTTAACGTGTCTATCATTTCTTCTATTATTATTATTACCATTTTTATCATTATATTTTTTTGATGTTACAATTAGTATTATTTCTGCATTTATTCCCATACAGTTTTGTAATATTAGTTGAAACAGGCTTCCAAACATGATTACATGGGTCTAAATGTAACTTAGAAACCTTCATGAACCTATTGTGGCTGGCGTCACAGTTGTAACACGATTATGGTACACCAAACCATACTACAGAAAATCTGGTGGAAAATCAGGATATTTGACATTTTTGACAGGATTCAATTTATTTTTGGAATTCCAACTGTCAATATGAGTACATCAGACTCGATCAGAATAGTCATGATACACTCAAATGGAAAATCAAAAAAGAAATCGAAGTCCATATTGAAGTTTTGATTGTCACTTACGTGGTATCATTGTTTTCACAAAATCGTCCAGAATTCTGAAAAACATGGATATACAGGGAGTTCCATTGGAAAATCAAAATATATCACCACTTTCAGTAAAACCGAAAGTGGAAAATAAAACGTATCCACGTCAAAACATGACGTTAATCAACATGATGGGTCATCCCAAGTTCAAATCACTCATCATGTCTTATGCTGAAGGAGAAAAAAAAGGGTATACCTTCATGAACCTGTTACACCCAGTATAGTGTTTCATACAAAAAATCTAGTTTCTCGATGGAAACGATTATTATATTCATCATATAGGTACTGGGCGAATGACTTATCAGAATATATAGAGGGGGATTTCCCAAATAGATTCATTAAACGATAGATATTCATAGAGGATCAATAGATACACCAACATGAAATGTTGATTTTACCAATACATATTTTTTCAAAATATCCGCAATACGCTGTTTGGTTGAAACGAAAGTAACATCAACTCTGTTCTATCGAGAGAAACTTTTTGTATTTCAATATTTCTTTGAAGTCAACATGAATTCCTAGAACTACCGCATTTTGAATAGTTTTCCTATAGAGACAGTTTCAAAGTTGAAAAGACAAAATCCTAAGGAGACTCCACCCAAAACATACAAAAAAGTTTATATGTCTATGGGTCCGGTGAGGCTTCGTTTCCTAGTTACAGGGTGCGAGGTTCTTTGAAGAAAATGTGTTTTTTTATTGATAGATTGAAAACTTCCAGCTCTTATGTTGTCATACTTGAGAATTAGAAGGTGGAGTCCTTCTGGTCAAACCGGAAGTGATGAAACAAATACTTTCTCGATAATGCGTGAGCAATTCGGTATACTTGCTATACCTACAAAATTTCAAAATCCGATCTCGAATGATTCAGAAGTTACATCACAGTGGCCGTTTTTTGGAAAGTTTGCTGTATCTTCATATAGATATTCGGCGAAAAGCTACCATCTAGACTACCATATCATTTAATATTCCAACGTCCCGAAAATTTCATAATGAAGGCTCGCCTGAAAACGGTTCTGAGCAAAGCGTAGAGAGATTCAAACTGCCACTCATGACAGCGATTCATATGTCACTTAATATGTCACTTGGCGTTCATAAACACAAGTAAGAAGTGAGTAGAGTCCGACCACGTTAACTTTGGGACAGCATGTGACGCAACGCATATGCATATTCAATGCATACGCGACCACGTGCTGTCCCAAAGTTATTGTTGTTATTACAATATTAAAGGTTACTCATTTCTCGTATCACTCTGTATAAGGCAGAGAAGGCCTGAAGAAAGAATGAGTAATAAATGTCGGTTGTTTTATGTTGTTATGGTGTTGCTAAAACAAGAAAATAATAATGTAACAAAACTTTCATATTGTATGTATTCTCGTATTTTCACGGAGATTAAAAATCAGTTTCTTAAAGTCTTTCAATTACTGTGTCCACTGTTAGCCCTCTACCACTGGCACCTGGATAAAATCAACAACAGGTTATGGGCCCAGGAAGCGTGAGCAAGAAATTGTGAATTCAAAGAGGAGCAGTGAAGCAAACGAAAATTGAATGCTGATTGTTCGTTAAGGTTGAAGCCATGGCGAATAGTGAAACAAACTCCGGAGTAAGCATGTCGATCGAAAAACTCAAAGGTCGGGAGAATTATTCGGACTGGAAATTCCAGATGAGTGCCTTGTTGAAGCTAGACGGACTTTGGTACTGCGTGTCTGGTGATGCCCCTGAAAATGTGGATGCTGCTACAAGAGCACGCCATGCAGAAAAGGCATTGTCCAAAATAATCCTTTCCTTGGACAAGTCAACATACCCTCATGTGATGCAATCAAAAACTCCTTCTGAAGCCTGGAATGCACTCGAAAAGGCATTTGAGGACAAAGGACTCCATCGAAGATTGCGATTGTTGCGGAATTTGTGTTCCATCAAACTTGAACGCTTCAATAACATGGAGGATTATGTGAATGAAATTTTGGCTTTGTCACAACAACTTATGTCGATTGGTAAGCCCCTGGATGATGAATTTCTTGGTGTTATCATGCTACAAGGACTCACAGAAGAATACGAACCAATGGTGATGGCTCTTGAAAATTCTGGTGTGGATATTGCATCAGATTTCGTCAAAACGAAATTATTGCAGGACAAGAAATGGCAAAATTTCAAATCTGGTGGTGATTCTGCATTGGCTGTACATAAATTCAAGAAGTCTCCATGGTGTTGGATTTGTCGTACAAGAGGACATTATAAAAATCAGTGCCCTCAGAAAAAGGTTGAAAATTCTGACAACAAACGTCATCCAAATAATTTTGGCAAGAAGAATGAAGTTTCAAACAGAAATAATGCTTTATTTGTTGCTGCTTTGGGTGTCGATATGAATAAAGATCATTGGTATATTGACAGTGGTGCATCATCACACATGACAGGCAATAAAGAGCTGCTAACCAGTTTATCCAGCGAAAATTCCGGACAAGAAATCACAGTAGCTAACAACTCGAAGCTGTGTGTAGCAGGAACTGGTGCTAGCTCAGTTAAACTTAAACCAAGTGGTGAGGAGAAGAGTATTTCTGACATCAAGTTTGTGCCAAACCTTTCAGTAAACTTATTGTCTGTGAACTCTATGGTCTCCAAAGGATATATCGTTTTATTCGATGCTGATAATTGCAAAATCCTGGACCAAGAAACGTGTCAGATTAAGGGAGAACCTACAGCAACTGCAACAAATGTGGATGGCCTGTACAAATTGGATATATTTCAAGAAAAAGCCAACATTGCCAAAATATCAAGTTCTCAGATGCTGTGGCACAAACGACTGGGTCACCTGAACCATCATAGTATGAATCTTCTCAAAAATGGTCTCGCAACTGGTATGTCATATGAAGATAATGAAAATCCAGATTATTGTGAGAGTTGTATCAAGGGAAAACAAGCAAGGAAGCCCTTTCCTTACAATCCTAGCAAAAAAGTAGCTAAAGGTAAGCTTGACTTGATACATTCAGACATTTTAGGCCCACTAGAAGTTGAATCTTGGAGTGGTTGTAAATATATATTCACATTGATTGATGACAATAGCAGAAAAATATTCTGTTACTTCTTGAAGTCCAAAGATGAGGTGCCTGCGATATTCGAAGAGTTCTGCAAATTAGTAGAAAATCAGACTGAAAGAAAAATAAAAGTCTTGAGAACTGATAATGGGAGTGAGTATTGCAACAAACATTTAGATAAATTCCTCAAAGCTAAAGGAATAAAGCATGAACTCACTGTACCTTACACTCCACAACAAAATGGTGTGGCTGAAAGGTATAATCGCTCCATTATGGAAAAAGTTCGTTCAATGCTGGTAGACTCTAAATCACCAAAACAAATGTGGGCAGAAGCAGCCAACACTGCTATTTATCTTCTGAACCGTTCTCCAACAAAAAAGTTGAGTGGTGCCACACCAGAGGAGAAATGGACAGGATGTAAAGTAGATCTGAGTCATCTGAGAGTATTCGGATGTAAAGCTTATGTTCATATTCCTGATGTTAAAAGAAGAAAACTTGATGAAAAAAGCAGAGAGTACATTTTTGTAGGATATTCTGAGACTACCGTTGGATACAGGCTACTGGACCCTGACAATCATAGGCTGAAGATTGCTCGTGATGTCGTCTTCCTAGAAGATAAGCTGCACAATACGAAAAACGTTGAGCAATTGCAAGCTGTTGTTCCAATTGAGCTGGAGAATGATGCCATGGAAGCCAATGAGGTATTGAACGGGGCTACCTCTACGGAATCTCAATCCCACTTAGAAGAGGAACGTGGAATTGAGGAAGCAGATAGTACAGATGGAGGTAGTCGGGGCTTGTTTTGCGAAAAGTCGAATTCTAGAAGCATTTCATGTAACAATTGGATAAATGACGTTAACCCCCTATTTCGACCCCGCTGAATCCGAAAATACCGTTTATCAAGTCGAAATTCCAACTGGAAGTGAGATATTCAAGATGGCGTCCGAAATACACCTAAAATCTAATTATTTTCTACTTTCGGTCAGCAGGTCTATGTTTTCGGGGGGTGTAAAATACGATGAGACACTCAAAAATGATTTGGAGCATTGAAAGTTCATCGAATGATCAAATTTTGACGAAATAGACCGAAATTCCAAAGAACTTGTGAAAACGTGTTGCATAATGTATATGCTTGCATACGCTTTCGAGGGTGCTCAATAAGTTTATCAGCCAAAAAAGCATTTGAACATTGTCCAAGCCTTCATTTCTTATATTTTGAGAGAGCCCCTTGCAGCCACGAGTTCCAAATTCGGAAAATGAATTGGGAATAGGTGGCAAAGTCATCAGGATTGGGACATATCGTCCATCAACAATTTCCCAGCCGTGATTATTCGGGTCTTATAAATCAGGATACTGATCATGGGCCTCAATCCACACTAGTATCTGAACATAACATTACCATCCTTCGATTTGTTCAATTTTCTTCTACCTGGAAGTAGCACCAGAGGAGTTTACAGAAGTTTTCTTCTATGTACTTGCTTCCACC